AAAAAAAAAACCAATCAAAGATTGCTTTGGTTACGAAAACGTACGTCGCATTATTGTTTGTATATTGGTCAGGATTTTTGACATGACATTTTGACATTAAATTTCATTGACTGACATTGTCAAAATTAAAGAAAAATATTGCTAAGACGTACGTTTAAAAAACCATAGCAATCTTTGATTGGCTTTTTTTTTTGAAGACCCGATATGTTTGGTTGAAATTTCAGACATTTAAAAAGCTATTTTTCAAAAAGGCAAATGACGTAAGTACAAAACCCTCGTAAAACCATTTTTTTTTTACGCGTCTCATTTCGTCAGCACCCCTTGTATTTGGAGTTAGTTGCGCTTATGCACATCCTGAAAATGCCAGACAAAAAAAAAATCCTGTGCAATTCACACCCGGTAGAAGTGAAACCTTCATCGAACTGCATGCATTAAGCCTCATTAACACGGTGCAAGTAGCTTGAGCAAGTACTAACGCCAGTAACTAAAATTTAGTAACTTGAATCGTGTAGACACCTTAATTTAGTACTTGAGCAAGTAAACGCTTTAGTCAAGTAATTAGTCAAGTGAATAGAAGCTGGTTCTATTTACTTGAGCAAGTGACTTCCCCCTCTCGTTTATTTTACTGACTTTAGCGGGCTGGACGTGTGTAGACAGGATTTGTATTTAGTGATTAGTGAAGTACATTAGTGGAGTTTGAATTTGAATATTTTGAGTATTGTGTTGCACCTTGCACCTATTAGTTGCCTTTGCAATGTCGTCTGTAACTGCTTCCTGTTGCCAGATATGATAGTGTAATTTCCAATGTAATTTTTACTGGAATAGCAGGTCTCATTACAGTATCTTGTGTGCTAATCATGGGTTTTATTTCGAAAAGTTAACTTATTGAATTGTTCTTTTGTCATCCGCATACAATTTCGATATTCTTTTGGATCTTCCTTAGCCAGTTCAACCAATAATGTGGAAGATGCACCATGTGTTTCTCTACGAGATATCCATGGTCGAACCCAACAACGTTTTCCATTTTCAATTTCTTTCAATAAAATGTGTGATAATTCTCCATAAACACTCAAAATGCATTTTTAAATTTCTTTTCGAACAACTGTACTTGCTGCCATTTCACCTCAATGTGCACTAATCACTAAATTCGACTTAAAATCAGTAAAATGCATGTAAACACCCACTTGCACGAAAACAAAGATAATTTAGTTACTGGCGTTAGTACTTGCCCAAGCTACTTGCACCGTGTAAATGAGGCTTTACACACATACTAACATAGACAGTGGCGTCCCCCCCTCCAAAAGACTTGAGAAAGACCCAAGTAGCACATAATATGGGGTAAACATCGTTTTTCAGTTGGGCCAATATTCATTAATTTTTGTTGCTAAATCAACACAGTACCAATATTGGGGCAACGTTAGTTTTAACAATGTGGAAACAATATTTAAAAATAATCTTGTACCAATATTGTTAATTAACTCTTCAGTAATTTGAATATTGGCCCAAGACTTCTCACTACAATATTGATTTATGAAATATTGGCCTAATATTACATTTTATATTATCGAAACAATATTGTAATATAATATTAATTCAATATTGGCATTCAATTTTTTATTGATATTTAAATTCACTTCAAAAACTTTGCACACCCAATATTTATTTTCAATTTTTTCACAATATTGATACTTTTTTGAAAGCCCAATGAAGGGCCAATATTTACATACCAATTTTTACCAAGGCTAGATTTTCTGAATTGAAAATGTTGGTCCAATATAGGGTATTCAATGTGCGCACTTGGTGTGCCGACCAAAAAATAGATGGAGACTCTGTCTTCACTTTACCTGTCTTAAACCTGGTTCCGGGATGAAGCCAAAAATTGGTCGTTTTCTGTCTGCGGGACCCTGGCGGGACTTAACCGTGCTGATGAGTTGTGATACAGCGAAACGGGTCTACGGATGGTCCGGCAGAGAGAAAACACTTCTTAGTCAATCCTTATAATTGGTCCGTTACCTTAATTAAATATAATATAAGACCAAGATTTACATACGTCTTCGGGCCAATATTAGTAATTTCAATTGGCTCTATATTGCATATAGTTCTTGATATGATATTGATTATTTCTTTTTGGGCCAACATTTGGTTACGTTTTTGTACCAACGTTGGTATTTGTTTTTGGGTATATTATATTGACATACGTTCTTGGACAAATATTACAGAATGTCCACATCTTTTATTGGGCCAACCTAGAGAATCTGACTTGGGCCAATAAATCGTAGTTATTGTCCCAATATTGGCCCAACATGGGAGTGCTGCTTGGGGAACGCAAATAAATATAGTTTAAAAAAACTAAAATACACGCTGGGGTGTTTGGTTCCACATTTCTCATACATTGAGCACCCCACGCTTTTTTGACAATAATTTTAATATTTTTTGTTCATTAATATTTTCTGTTTATATTAAAAATTATTTTTCACTTTTTAGTTCGATGTATCAAAAGCGTGTTAGCCCCAGATATTTCCACACTTTTCCAGACATTATTCAGACTTATTCAGGGCTTTCCAGAGTTTTCCAGATTTCATCCAGATTTATCCAGACTTGTACAGACTGATCCGGATTCTGGAAAATGATTCCCAGGTCTTTTGGAACCTTTTTCAGAATTTTTCCGACCCTTCCAAGAAATTTCCAGGCATTTTCCAGACGTTTCCAGAGTTTTCTAGACTTCATCCCGATAAATCCAGACTTGTTCAGACTGATCCGGATTCTGGAAAATGATCCCCAGGTCTTTTGAGACCTTTTTCAGATTTTTTCCAACCCTTTCCAGAAATTTCCAAGTCTGGAACGTTTCCAGACTTTTCCAGACAATATCCAGACTTATCCAGAGTTTTACAGAGTTTTCCAGACATCATCCAGATTAATCCAGACTTGTTCAGACTGATCCGGATTCTGGAAAATGATCCCCAGGTTTTTTGGGACCTTTTTCAGAATTTTTCCAACTCTTTCCAGAAATTTCCAAGTCTTTTCCGGACGTTTCCAAACTTTTCCAGACTTATCCAGAGTTTTACAGACTTTATCAAGATTTATCCAGACCTTATCCAGACTTGTACAGACTGATCGGGATTCTGGAAAATGATCCACAGGTCTTTTGGGACCTTTGGCAGAATTTTTCCGACCCTTTCCAGATATTTCCAGGCTCTTTTCAGACGTTTCCAGAGCTTTCCAGAGTTTTCCAGACTTTATCCAGATTAATCCAGACTTTTTCCAGACTTGTTCAGACTGATCCGGATTCTGGAAAATGATCCCCAGATCTTTTGGAACCTTTTTCAGATTTTTTCCAACCCTTTCCAAAAATTTCCAAGTCTTTTCCAGACGTTTCCAGAAATTTCTAGATTTTTCCAGACAATAACCAGACTTATCCAGAGTTTTCCAGAGTTTTACAGACTTTATCCAGATTTATCCAGACCCTATCCAGACTTGTACAGACTGATCCGAATTCTGGAAAATGATCTCCAGGTCTTTTGGGACCTTTGGCAGAATTTTTCCGACCCTTTCCAGAAATTTCCAGGCTCTTTCCAGACGTTTCCAGAGATTTCCAGACTTTTCCAGACTTCATCCAGATTTATCCAGACTTGTTCCAGCTCACTTGGCTTGTTCCAGGTTCCTGTTGTGTGTTGTGTGTTTGTATTAATATAAGCGTGTTAAAAAAGTGTTGCTTTTTCGTTAAGTTTCATCGGGTCGCTTTTTCGTTTCATCGAGTCTCAAATCACTCCCAACGATTCTAAAGAAGTTTTCACTTCAAAAATGACTCCACTCAACATTCCCTATCTCACGCAGAGCATAATTTTGTTTTAGTTTATATATTTTCTATTTATACAGCAAATTAGACGTAGCAACTAGGTATCATCTAATACTAATATGTCGATGTAAAAAATTCTAAAACCGCCGCGGCAGTTAGTCTATCATCTTACAAGGTCACAGAAAATATATTAAATGCCCGAGAGAATCGCGCAACGCTGTTAAAATTTGTTTGCCGAAGAGCTAGCGCGAATAAAATTTAATTTCAATTTATAACACCGGAGCAGCGCCTCTAGCGGTCTGCCGTCGCCCATAAGCGTAGGTTTTCTATAGTTAACTATAATATTCTTTGCCCCCAGTCCGACACTGTCGACGAATCGGTGCAGACTCGGCAAAAACCGCTCCGTGTGTTTTAGGCCTTAATCCCTTAATGCGAAGCTAGGGACATCTATTAACGTGCTGAGAAGTCAGATGAGAATATTAGAGGTCTGTTTCTGCAGAAATCACAAACCAGTCAGTAATGACAGTAATGAATCTCATTGGTTGAAACTAGTTTTCTGACTGTTTTCAACCGATGAAATTCGCTCTGACTAGTTTGTGATTTCTGCAGAAACAGACTTATTGATTGAATTAGTTGAAATACTAGACAAATTTTAGCCCAGTTCAGTTTACCCCTGAGTAACTCTCCTCTCCTTTCTCCTTTGTTCTGAAAGGGAGAAGAATAACATTTTACTTTGATCGGTTCGGCCGGTTCGGGTGAAATTTTTACGTTTGGGAGATTATCTTTCATTCAAAAATCATTCAAATGGTATTTGCATCTTCAAAATGCTCCATTGTCAACTATTATTTATATATTCTTACAATTTTTGCAGTTATTATGTGCTTGAGGAGGCTAAAAAAAAGGTATAACATACCTACAAAAAATTGATGGAAGGTTCGCATTTTCGCATAGCACCGGCCACCGGTGCATGTCCTTGAGGGAGACTTTTAATAAATTCAACTCTCACATCAGGACAGGCCGCAGGCAACAGAAATTTAATGTAAATATTAATCTTAAAGCAAATACCTAAATCAATCAAAAATTCATATTGCCCACACATAAATTTAAATTTCTGCGTCTGTGCGCTGCGTTCTTAAAAAATACTTTTTCTTTCTTCTGCCAGCCAGCTGTTCTCCGATTATTATTTGGGAACAATCGCAGGCAGGTAAAATTTTCGTTGACGTTATCGCGTCACAGAAGACCTTTTCTGGAAATAATTTCATATTGTTTCTGTTTGCAAATAAAATGAAACAAGACTCAGCACTGGAACAAGCTAAAGATGTTGATTTTATCATTAAAACTGCAAGTAAGCACATTATAATATTTTATATACAGTGGTTAGTTAGATTTAAAATAAATTTAAATTACCGTTGTCGTTCGGCTAAAGCCGGAGCTGTCTCATGTCACTGACGCTAAAAAAACTGAGGTTATGTTATGTTGAGTGGATGGTCCAGGAAATGTCATAACTTTTATGTGATTTGTGATTCTTGAATCGGAAAATTGATAAAAATGAGCTCTGGTAAGGCTATTAGTTGCATTTTTGCCAAATTTGATTAACTTAAGGTTTAATTTGCGTTTAATATGCAGTAGAACTTGCTTGTTTTGAAGTTTATAAACAAAAACTTTGGTTCAGCTGGGGCCAATCAATACTGTTTTTTTTTTTCGGAAATGAACCTACCTACGATATACCTATTCGCAAAATTCATTTACATCAATTTACAACAGAGAAATGAAATTATTTCAAAATTAGTTGTCATAATAATGAAATCCCTAATTAAAGGGCTTGTTGAAAGGCCCGGACTCGGGCCCGGATTTAACCATCGATGAGATTCTTTGTTACTATCGAGTTCGATTTATTTAATGTTGGTAGTTGACACATTATTGAATTGATTCCAACTTATTCGGTCGACTGAACCTACCTAGGTATGTACTTAAGTAGGTACAAGTTCTTTGATGGCTATTTGCACAGCTTTCACTTACAGGATATTTGTGACTCTTGTAGTAACAAGTCACATTTGAAACTCCACCCAGATTAAATATCCCTTAGGTTGTAAAGGTGCAAATAGCCATGAAATGAGTACTCAGAAGGTTTAAGGTACTGGTAGCAACACTAGCAACCTAAGTAGGAGAATAGATAGGCTTGTATTGTATCACTATTTGCTAAAAACTTGTTTGGCGCCTCTATTACACCTCTAAATTATGGATAAAATTCAACCAAAAGTTTTTGGCTTAGTTTTTAGGTAGCTGCCTACTTGTTAAAGTAAAGTTATAAAAAAAGGGGATAAAATATATAGTTTTTCAATTTTTTGATTCAATAATATTGATTGAACAATAGGCTAATAGTATAATTTTATAATCATTGTGAAAATTGTGCTGTTGCCCGTTGCAATTAATTGTTAAATAAATACATAAATTTTGTCATGGACGTACTCATTTTGTACTTTGCAAAGAAAATATTAAGGTATAAAAGTTAGCAAACTATTCAATTCTTCTTTTTTGTTTTTTTTTTGACCTAGAAAGCTTGATCCACCTTTTTCCCAGTTTAAAAAGTGTGTAAGTAGGTATTCCTGAAATAGAAAAAACATTTGCAAACACACTGCATCACCACATTCTTCTCTGCTTAGTCACTGTCCGAGTCACTGTCACTACTCACTAGTAGGTAGAATAGAATAGAACTGTGCTTTATTGACCGAAGTACTTAAACTTATTGACAAAGCTAATACTAAAATGTATAGGTATTTTTTTTTTTTACTTAAATATTAAACATTTGTTATATAACACTAAAACGCCTCATATAATTATCAATAATTTAAAATACATTAGAATAGAATAAAACACTTAGAGACTGCAGAATAAAGACAAATTTTTTTTTTCTACAACTGTCAAAAAATGATGATGTTCGCACACTCATGATAGTTTGCGAAGTGACACTTTCGCGCACTAGATACAAAAATAACTATTAAACGATCAAAAAACATATGTAAACAAAATTCCAAAAATTTGCTGTCAAGTTTTTAACGTTTTCAATCACATAATACAAAAAACATTAAAAAAAACAACACTAGGAATCAGGAACACTCATTATCGAATAGTATCACATCACAATTAATTGATTTAGTCTATCTTCAAAGGATTCCAGCAGGCTTTAGTCACTGATCTCAAAAATAAATGGATAAACAAAGAATGCTGCTAATTTACGAGGTCATAATCTAAACAAAAACAACTGACTGGGACAGCTGTGAGCGTGCGCAGTAGATACATGTACTGTGCGTGCACAAAATCTGGCCAATGAAAATGAAGGAATTTCAAAATTTAGAACAGTTGTTCGAAAGATAAGACACTGCGCAGGCGTTAGGCTGTTCCATTGCACAACTGTTCGTAGAATTTTGACCCCAAATTTTCGCGCAAATTTTGCCAATCAAGCGGTATGATTGTTTATCCACTTATTTTTTAGATCAGTGGCTTTAGTAGGGTTGAACTACTACGAGTGCTCTCACTGCATTGCGAAAGTGCTTACAATTGTCCAGTATTTTTATTTCTTCAGGCAAATGCGAGGGCAAATGGTTGAATATTTTTTATATATTAGTGATGACTTTTCCAAAATATATAGACCAAATACTGTAAGCATTTTGTGGATTTTAAATAATGGCTTACAGTGCTCCCTAGGTCCCACTTTACATATACATCGTAATGCGAGCTTTTGAAGTTTCAACACACTAGCCATTAGGTCATTTGTGCAGGATCAATAAAATGCAACTCCGTATCTCAAATGGGACTCTATCAAAGAATAGTAGACTGTCATTGTTGAAGAAAAGTTGAGTTCTCTAGCCACAACTTTTAAGACATATGCACCACTAGCTTCTTTACTCCTACAAATTTTCACCATCCACCTCACACAGATTATAAAGTAGATTCAGGGAAACAAAATTCTTTTACGATATTTCATTTAAATATTCAATCTATAAGAAAGAAAACTGACGAACTTCTTTTGGTTTTGGAGGCTAATGATTATCCTGATATTGTTTGTATTTGTGAGCATTGGCTAAGGGTTGAGGAACTGTGTTTTGTGTCTGACGAGTATATGACTTTGTCTAGATATTGTAGAACGACGTTGGAGCATGGTGGTACTATGATAATGGCAAAAAGATCCTTCTTAGCAAGTAACAGCTTTCATATTATCAACAGATTTGATGATTTAATAAAGGAAAAAGTTTTTGAGTTTTCTATGATCTTTTCAAAAACAATTAATTTGTACATTGTCTGTATTTACCGTAGTCCAACTACAAACGTGGAGACTAACGCAAATTTTTTTTTAATCAAATTAGAACAGCTCTTGTCTCTGCTTCCACACAGGAGTAACTTGATTTTATTGGGTGATTTTAATATTAATTACGATGAATCAAACTCAGTTGATAGACTTAATTTGTGTAATTTGTTTGAGTCTTTTAATCTGTCCATGCACATAGATTCTCCCACTCGCATTACTACATCTTCTTCCACCACTATTGACTATTTTTGTTCATCTCTTGATTTGTCTAATATTTCTTGTTCGGTTTTTAACTCGGGTCTAGGTGACCATGAAACTATCCTTGGTAAGATTTCATGTTCCATTAATACTAAGAAAAGTAAATACAAAGTTGGTAGACTGTTTAGTAGAACAAACTATGGAAAATTTGATGAAATATGTATGTCTATTCAATGGGAAAGTATATTCGAGAGCGGCAATCCTCTTGAAATCTTTCACACCATTTTGCAGGAGTCATTTAATGGAGCTTTTCCTATTCAGAAAATTAAGATTCGGTGCAAAAAACCTTGGATGACTGTTGGATTAAGAACTTCTTCTCTTAATATGAGATGTCTCCATACTCTCAGAAAATTTACTGACAATAATGCATTTCTCAATTATTTCCAACATTATAGATCCATATATAGAAGGACAATTAAGGATGCAAAAGAACTATACTATAGCAATCGTTTAACTACAACAAGCAATTCTCAGAAAGAAAGTTGGAATATTATAAATGAGTTGAGAGGAGTTAATAATCAATCTAGGATTAATGTTCCTGATATGACTCCAACAGTATTGAATAATTATTATTGTTCAATTGCAAGTTCTCTTATGTCAAAATTAACTCCAATTGTTGATCCACTGGATTACTTGAAACATGTTCAAATAGAGCCATCATTCTACTTTTTTCCAACTGACTCTAGAGAAATCGCACAAACTATAAAATCTATTGAAAATAAAAACTCATCTGGTGAAGACGGCATATCATTGATTATTCCACTCATGTGTTAGAAATCCCATAAGACAAGTGACGATTTTCAGAATTACAGCGAAAATTCTCTTTTCCATTTGTTTAACTAGAGAGAATTACAGCGATAATTCTCCCATGTTATTGTATACATGGTTGTCATGCTATTTTTTGATACAAACAAACGGTTCCTGATAGCAACCATTTATTTGTATTGATTGTTAGGATGTTCAAATCGTTTAATACACATTTATTTCCATATTTTTTGCATTCTCATACGTGAAATAATCCTCTAAATACCACTTGAGCTTTAAAATGAACCAGATAATTTTTCACTCATGCGTGTTTACTCTGCAAATTTCACTCGTCCTACGGACTCGTGAAATTATAGAAAATACGCAATCGTGAAAAATTATCGGTAATTTTGAAGCTCTCATGGTATTATCCCCAAAAATATTTCTTACTCTTCCTCAACCTGCACTTGATGCACTTTCAGGAGCGATTAATTATTCCTGGGAAATGGGAAAATTTCCAGATACTTTGAAGACTGCAAGTGTTATTCCTCTGCATAAGGGTGGGAATCTGGATGAACCTCAAAATTTCAGGCCAATTTCTCTATTATCAACCCTTTCGAAAATTGTCGAGAGGTTGGTTAAAAAGCGGGTTTTATCATTTTAAAACTATCATCAGATACTAAATTCAGATCAGTTTGGTTTCCAAACTAAGAAAAGTACTGATGATGCAATATATAAATTTTTAGAGGAAATTTACTTTGGTTAAAACCAAAAGCCGGTGAGGCTCTTGCAGCGGTCTTCTGTGACTTATCAAAAGGTTTTGATTGCGTCAGTCATGGAATTCTGCTGTGCAATCTTCAAAAATATGGTTTCAGAGGGAAGGTTTTGGACTGGTTTCGCTCCTATCTTGAAGGGCGCTCTCAGAAAGTCACCTTTGGTTCCCAAATATCTCAGGCCAATAAGGTCAAGCATGGGGTTCCTCAGGGCTCTGTACTAGGCCCTCTTCTCTTTTTAATGTATATTAATGATCTTGCTTT